TCGGCTTACTAGGGGGTCCATCCCCTGCACCAACTGTGGTCGGGGAGGACACACCGCGGCTAGGTGCTGGGGGTGGCCTCCTAGGGGAGAGGACGACAGGTCCCGCACTGGGGATTCCTTCCAGGTGAGTAGGCGCCCCACTCACCCAGAGCTCTCTATTGCACATTTCTGTTTGCCTGTGAGTTTTCCACAGGTAGCACCTCATTCCCAGCATAAGGCGCTGGTAGATTCAGGCGCGGCTGGGAATTTTATTGATAAGAAATTTTGTTTAGCTTTAGGGATTCCCCTTCTTCCTGTTGATGTCCCTTTCCCCGTTCATGCCCTAGATAGCCGTCCGTTGGGTGCGGGCTTGATCAGGGAGGTCACTGCGCCACTTAGGATGTGTGCGCAGGGGGGTCATCAGGAGATGATTCAGCTATTTCTGATTGACTCTCCTGCGTATCCGGTGGTGCTGGGCATGCCCTGGTTGAGTACCCATAACCCATCTATTTCGTGGCAGGAGAGGGCTCTGATGGAGTGGTCTGCCCAGTGTGTGGGTAGATGTTTAGGCGTTTCCGTAGGGGCTACCTCGGTGGAGAGTCCAAACCAGGTGCCCGCATTGCACGTTCCCCCTGAGTATGGGGATTTGGCTATTGCGTTTAGTAAGTCGAGGGCAACGCAGTTGCCGCCCCATAGGCAGGGAGATTGTGCGATAGACCTCCAGGCAGGAGCTGCGCTCCCACGGAGCCATGTGTATCCTCTGTCTCAGGAGGAGAAGAAAGCTATGGAGACTTACATAGACGAATCTCTGAGACAAGGATACATACGGCCTTCCACTTCCCCTGCATCCTCGAGTTTCTTTTTTGTGAAGAAGAAGGATGGTGGTTTGCGCCCATGCATCGATTACCGTGGTCTCAATCAGATCACGGTGAAGTACAGTTATCCACTCCCGCTGATTGCGACCATGACTGAGTCCTTGCATGGGGCGCGTTTCTTCACTAAATTAGATCTCAGGAGCGCGTACAACTTGGTGCGCATCAGGGAGGGCGATGAATGGAAGACAGCCTTTAGTACCACCTCGGGCCATTACGAGTATCTTGTCATGCCATACGGGTTGATGAACGCTCCGTCAGTTTTCCAATCATTCGTGGATGAGATCTTCAGGGACATGCAGGGGCAGGGGGTCGTGGTGTACATAGATGACATTCTCGTGTACTCGCCTACCCGTGTCGAGCATGTGGCCCTGGTGCGCAGAGTGTTGCGGAGGCTGGTGGAGCACGACCTGTATGTTAAGGCAGAGAAGTGTCTGTTTTTCCAGGAGTCGGTCTCCTTTTTGGGGTATCAGTTGTCTGCGTCAGCGGTGAAGATGGAGGTAGACCGGGTGTCAGCCGTGCGTAATTGGCAAACACCAACCACTGTGAAGGAGGTGCAGCAGTTTTTGGGGTTTGCGAATTACTACCGGAGGTTTATCCGGGGTTTTGGACAGGTGGCAGCTCCCATCACGTCTCTCTTGAAGGGGGGCCCGGTGCGTCTGCAGTGGTCTGCCGAGGCGGACAGGGCATTTGGGAGGCTGAAGGACCTGTTTACCTCGGCTCCAGTGCTGGCGCATCCGGATCCCTCTTTACCATTTCAGGTAGAGGTGGACGCGTCTGAGGCCGGTATAGGAGCCGTGCTTTCACAAAGATCAGGCGCGCCACCTAAACTCCGCCCCTGTGCTTTTTATTCCAAGAAGCTCAGTCCGGCGGAGCGAAACTATGACGTAGGGGACAGGGAGCTGTTAGCCGTGGTACAGGCCCTAAAGGTGTGGAGGCACTGGCTTGAGGGGGCTCAACACCCTTTCCTCATTTTGACGGACCACCGTAACCTGGAGTACATCCGGGCAGCGAGGAGGCTAAACCCTCGGCAGGCTAGATGGAATATGTTTTTGACCCGGTTTACATTTAAGATCACGTACATCCCTGGGTCCCAGAACGGTAAGGCAGATGCGCTGTCTCGGCGGTATGACACGGAGGAGAGGTCCGTGGAGCCCACTCCCATACTGCCGGAGTCGTGTCTGGTGGCACCGGTAATGTGGGAGGTCGATGCTGAGCTCGAGCGGGCGTTACGCACCGACCCTAGTCCACCACAGTGCCCGGAGGGTCGGAAGTACGTTCCGCTCGAGGTTCGGGATCGATTGATCTATTGGGCTCACACGTCACCCTCCTCTGGACATCCGGGTATCGGCCGGACAGTGCACTGTCTTAGTGCCAAGTACTGGTGGCCCACGTTGGCAAGGGATGTGAGGGTTTATGTTTCCTCCTGCTCGGTGTGCGCCCAGTGTAAGGCGCCTAGACATCTGCCTAGGGGTAAGTTACTACCCCTGCCCGTGCCACAACGACCATGGTCCCACCTCTCGGTGGATTTCCTTACTGACCTTCCTCCTTCACAGGGGAATACCGCTATACTGGTCGTTGTGGACCGGTTTTCTAAGGCCTGTCGTTTGCTCCCCATGCCGGGCCTTCCTACCGCCCTGCAAACTGCCGAAGCCCTATTCACCCATGTGTTCCGGCACTACGGGGTACCCGAGGATATTGTGTCTGATCGAGGTCCCCAATTTACCTCCAGAGTCTGGAGGGCCTTTATGGAGCGGTTGGGGGTCTCGGTGAGCCTCACCTCGGGTTACCACCCGGAGAGTAATGGGCAGGTGGAACGTGTAAACCAGGATGTGGGCAGGTTTCTTAGAACATACTGCCAGGACCGGCCGGAGGAGTGGGCAAGGTACGTTCCCTGGGCCGAAATGGCCCAGAATTCCCTACGCCATTCCTCCACTAACCTAACCCCTTTCCAATGTGTGTTAGGTTACCAGCCGGTTCTGGCACCCTGGCAGCAGAGCCAGATCGAGGCTCCTGCGGTGGATGTGTGGGCGAGGCGCTCGGAGGAGACATGGAACGCTGCACACGTCCACCTGCAGCGGGCCCTCCGACGTCATAAGGCGAGCGCCGATCTCCACCGCAGTGAGGGACCGGTGTACGCACCTGGTGATCGAGTCTGGCTCTCTACCTCCGCCTGCCCTGTCGGAAACTGGGTCGGCGGTTTGTAGGGCCATTTAAAGTCCTGGGAAGGTTGAACGAGGTGTGTTATAAATTACAGCTACCTGTTGAATATAAAAGTATTAACCCCTCGTTCCATGTGTCCCTTCTCAGGCCGGTGGTAGCTGGCCCACTCCAAGAAAGTGAGATCAGGGAGACTCCTCCGCCCCCATTGGACATCGAGGGGGCACCGGCGTACTCCGTGAGGTCCATCTTGGATTCGAGACGTCGGATGGGGGGTCTCCAGTATCTAGTGGAGTGGGAGGGGTACGGTCCGGAGGAGCGGTGCTGGGTGCCGAGGAGAGACATTTTGGACCCGTCTCTCCTGACGGAATTCCATCGTGGGCACCCGACGCACCCTGCTCCGCGTCCTCCGGGTCGTCCCCGAGGCCGGAGTCGGCGCACGTCTGGAGCCGCGCGTCAAGGGGGGGGTACTGTCACGGTTTCGGCCGAGGCTGCCTCTCTCCCTTGTTCGGGCAGGCTTCGGCGTTCGTTGTCTCCGGAATACTAGCTGCCACCGTTGTATGTTTCATGTTCGTTTGCTTTTGTCTGATTGTTGTCACACCTGTTTTCATTTAGTGTCATTAGTGTCCTATTTAGTTCTCGTTGTGTTTGTCAGGTGTTGTGTGTTATTGATTTTTGTCTGTTGTGTGTAGGGCTGATGTTCGCTATTTCGCTCGGTTGAGCTTCCCTCCACTGCGTGGAGTGTTTACGCACCTGTGTAGTGCGCATTTGTTTTGTTCGCCTTCGTGCGTTATTTCGCCTACGGGCAAGTGTTCTCGTAATTTCCTTGTTGGAGAGTTACTAAAGTCTGTTGGACTATACTTCGGTGTCCTGCGTTTGATTCCACCACTACACCCACCTACAGCACGCGTGACACTTGTTCTCCCCACTGTATCTTATGTATGTATTTTGTGCAAGTGATTTAAAAGCAAAAAAGCTATAGAAGTTATATTTTATTGATTCTAAGAAATGTAAAATATTAAGAAACATTTAAAGAAAAGTGATAAAAGATGTAGGTTAATTTTAAGTGCTTTTTAACTTTCACCAATAGTATTCAATAGTGACTTTTCTCCATGCATCAAGAGATCCTGGCACGAGTGAAGAGAGGTCCCTGTCATCCAGGATGAACAGACACTTCAGACACGAGCACAGTTTCTGAAATGGCTGACCTGCTGTATCGGTGGCATGCTTGTATTTATTCTTGCCATATTGAGTAAGGTAAGATGATGTTTTAGGAAAGATTTTTCTGTGATAGGTCTTTTTCAGATGTTATAAAAAAATTTTTTTTACGGATTGTATTTGTACATTAACAAAATCCATTCCAACAGAAAGTACAACACTTTATGTAAATATATGAAATAGTGTATTTATTTTCTGGTTAGTTCTGGGTCTAGATAAAACCCTGTACAACTGATGTTATTTTGATTATTTTGCAGTCATGCTTTCTGCTTCTGATAACACTGTCGAGCACCCTCTTCGTCGCGGTCAGTTGTGTAGTGATTTGCACCAAGCCTCCTTCTCCTCATCAAAAGTCTGTGGGAATTCATCTTCAAGGGCTCTGAGAAACCGATAGGGAAGACAGTGGTGTGGGTAAGCACAGGGTGTTTGATGGGAATTCATCTTCAAGGGCTCTGAGAAACCGACAGGGAAGACAGTGGTGTGGGTAAGCACAGGGTGTTTGATAGGAATTCATCCCTTTTATTCCCCATAACAATGGTTACCTCTATCTATGGGTGGTTGGTCACATTTCTCTTTGCAGGAACAGTATAACTTCCAGTAGACACCTCAGAAGATGTTCCATTTTCTAGCATTCCATATGCTTTCCTTTACCTACTGTATTCCTATTGTAATCCTTATTTAATGCTGATGGTTCATTGTTTTGAACCGTTTTCCTCATGAAATGCTAGTAGCAAATAGTTGGATCTGTGTGTTCCATGTGCTGTGTATAGAGTTGCTGGTGGAGGTGGGAACAGCAGTCCTTACCTTCGTCATCATGCCGTTCTTCGACAATATGACCAATGTGAAGATGTAGAACAGCGTCGTCCTCCTGTCCTCAGTCCTCAGGTGGGCGCCCAGTATGTTGCCAGAGAACAGAATAGATTCATAATTCCCTCCATCCTCTCTATCGGCCTCATTCTGATAGGCTACCTGCTCTTCGCCCTGAGTTACCTGCTGGGAGAACAGCACAGAGAGATGGGCCTCTGGGTTGGCCTGGCCATCACTGGGACCCACTTTATCTCTGTGAATTGGTGGGAGAACTACAGCAGCCTCTATAGAAGCTCCTTCCTGGACAGTATCTCTGAGGACATTGGGAGATCCAGGAATGTGGTATGTATTCTCTCCAGCCTGGTCCGACTCCTGGTCACTTCGGCTGTGGTGGGGGGCGTACGTCCCTCTGTCGGGGGGTGGGTTTGATGCTGTCCACTGTGCACATCTGGTTCTTCCAGATCCAGTGCATTGAGAGGACCCAGGACCTGTTTGTATGGAAGATCCACAAAGGGGCCTTTCTGGAACAGTCCATGTTGCTCAACATACATTTTGAGATTCAGAAGGACAGCAAACAAAAAAGGTAGGATTGCTCCAGTTTCTGTGAAGTGTGAGAAAGTGTGTGTGTGTGTGTATATGTGTGGTGTGTGTGTTTATAATAATGTATTTCCTTAATCACCAGGGAAACAGATCCAGTTACAGTGTACCTGTATGCAACACTGTGGCATGAGACCTGTGACGAGATGATGAAAATAATCATCCACATTTTCAGGTAAAGTCTGGAAGCAATAATTTGTTCCCACAAATGATAGAATGATGAATGACCTCTTTCTTTACCAGGCTGGACAAATACAGGCCAAAGAATAACCCCAGCAATGATGTGAGCTTTGAGTCTCACACCCTCTCCCCCGCCTTATATAGGTGACCTTCATTTATTTCATCTTCATTGCCATGTGGCTTGTGACAAAGTTCTGGAACCTCGATCTACATCAGAATCCCAAATCTCCATCTCAATGTGTCCCAGACTGGGAACCATATCTACCTGGATCCTATAGGAAAGATGGTTCGGTTGAGCTTTGCATCCTTGCTACTGGTGTAGTTCTTTGCCATGGTGTATCACAGGTGATTTTGTTTACAATGTGTCTTTAGTTTTCATCCAATTCTAAACCCTCATATGCAAAATACTCTCAGTTGTACACTGTGATTTAATTTAATTTAAATTTAACACTGTCATTTAATTTAAAGCTGAAGTCCTTGGTTGTACATCCATTTTTTTACATATAAATTACAGATTCTTGAAGAATATCTTATAAATGCCTTATGAGCTTAGTTCAACTGTCGTACCCCATCAGAACCCAAAATACAAGCTTGTTTTACTCCAATGTTTGTAAACAAAGTAAATGTAATGAAAACACGGTTAAAACTATAATTTGGATATCATGGATGGTCAGTCCTTGCATCAATAGCTCTGTGTATGAATTTGAGAGTGGTCAAATGTATCCAGGCCCATCCCTCAGCTGTTTACCAAAACACAGTTGAGGTGACCACTTTGTTATTGTTTCAAAGGATTCTAGCTTTAATAGCATTAACTTTTAATCCCATTACCGATATGTCCCATTTTTCCATTCTATAACAGCTATTACATTATTGTTCAATTAGTTTTATTTTATTATTATTTTATCTACACTCTGATCCATTTTGTGGCATTCATGGACACAGAATCCAAGACTAGGAGAAGACTTGTGAAACAATCATGGCAGTATTCAGTCGATGAGAACCAGGTAAATGTAGTGAGTAAATACTTTTTTGATCATTTCTTTTACCTTGAAGTCACAAGTCAAAAAGTCATCAAAATCATGATATAAATCATAGCATAGATATATCATCCTTGATCTGTAGTTGTGTGACTTTATCCTCTAACTCTGAACTCTTCACAGATTCTTGACTTGGCTCAGTAGCAGTGACTGTGTGAGGTTTAAATGAGTGTGTACAGCACAATATTGGAGAATCCACTGCTAGTTGGTGATGGATAGTGGTGGCTGAGCTGGAAGCGATGGGTCTCTCATAGGATAGGGCGCAAGCTGCGGCCAAAGACAGACTCCAGTGGCAGAAGATTGTTACGGCCTTATGTCCACACCTGAGATGAGGAGGACAGAGTAAATAATGCTTGTTGAATTCAGAGCAAACATTGCCTGCATGCTGTATGTCAAGCAACGTTAGAAAGTGCTTTGCTAAAGTCTATGAGGCTTCAAGGAGTGCCTGCTCAAATTGAGCAAACTGCACATGAAGTCAACTACTCAGGATCAGCAATGTTACGCTCTTTTGAATACATTTCTGAGTACAAAGTAAGCTATGTTAGCTACTTACTACTTGTGGTATTTGCTGTATTTACCTCTGAATGATTGTACTGACAATTGTTTATATCATGCGGATGTGCTGTTTACGAAATGGATAGAGATAACTCATCTGAATTCTTACATCAAATCTGAACAATATTTTTGATTGTGCTCAGGAAAGAAATCTCAGATAAACTTGAGAAAGGCTTGAGAATCGCTGACACTGGTTGAGAATGTTGAGTTCCTGAGAATCTTGTAAGTTGACCTTTAATCAATATTCTTTCACTATGCATTCAGAATAGATCAAACATTCATAACTACATCACATTCAGGTTATCTAACTCCATACAGTCAGGCAAACTATACATTATTTACACAGTAGTCTCTACTCAATGCAATCACTACACAATTTAAATGATTAAATGGTTTTCTGAGTTGTTCTGAGACTTGCAAAAACATCTGCTCAGTAAGGATATATAATTATGTCACTAAGAAAGTCTGTATATATAAAAATTACATAGGAAAGCTCTACTTATTATAACTCATAGCCCTTGGTGAATTAGAAAAAGAAAACGTTCATGAGATTCATGAGGTATCCAAGGAATCCTGATGGTCCAGCATCATATACTAACATATTACCTATAACTTTGGTTTGAACGCAGCCAAAAACAAAATATAACATTTTCCACAATTTTTTACAGAAAATGTGCTTATAGTGAGAAACATTACATGATTATGTGTGATAATGTCATAAGCTTGTCGATGTCTCAACAACAAAAAATTACTCACAACACCATCTTGTGGAATGATATAATACTTCGAAGGAAATTGCCATGAAATCAATAGAAGAGCAAACACGTGTATCTGTGTATAAGATGTGTATAAAATATGTACACCTTTGCCCCATTTTTCAGCGGTTGCTGCTGTTGTTGTTCAATCCACACCCAGAAAGTGACTACAGCGGTTCTACACAAAGCCTATAAAGCATTCACACTTTCACAACTTTGGTTTTTTAACCATAGCACCGTGTGTACATTTGAAGGAGGGTCCAGTGTGTTTTGAAGAACTCAGAGCCCTCAGAGGTGAGTTCTGTCCTGGTTCTAGTCCTGGCTGGCCGTGGTGGTGGGATCAGTGTCTGGGTAGACCAGGAAGCCTGAGAAGGTGGTGTAGCGTCCCTGGTTGCTGTAGACGGCATAGCGCTCATCCTGCTGGCTGTAGAGCCACACATTGTCCCCCCTACGCAGCGGCAGCAGCAGACTCTGGCTCTGCATCTCCCTCCTTCTGGACATGTCCTCGTCGAACACCATGGCCTGCACCTCGCCGTGGCCCGTCATCAGCTTGACCGACACTGCCCTGTGCGGATGCTTCCCCACCGTGAAGGCAAAGTAGTATGCCCCAGGGTAGCGGCAGGTGAAGCGGCCGGACGTCTTGTTGAAGTGTCCTCCAATGTTGACGTACTCCACGTCGAAGGTCAGAGGCTCCTTCTCCTTGTGCCCGCCACCATTCTCCCCCAGGACCGGGGATGTCCTGGCCACAGAGAAGGCAGAGCGAGGCTCCTCAGGGGCCTTAGCACTACCGCTCCAGCCATACCTGTGGTCTCCAGGAGGGGGGCAGTTGGGGTTGGGGTTGGGGTTGGGGTAGGGGTAGGGCTGCCCTGGCGGGGATAGGTGGTTGTTGAGATAGCCAGTTGCGGGGATGTCGGGGTAAACCAGGTAACCGGTGAAGGTAATGTAAGGGCCAGCGTTGCTGTAGAGAGCATGCTGAGGACTGTCCTGCAGCATCAGCCACACTGTGTCCATGGCCTTCAGATTGATCATGACACTTTGACTCTGGACCTTCCGCCCTTTCTTTTTGTAGTCATCATAGGCCATAGCCTGCACCTCCTGCCCATTCTTCACCAGTATGACAGACAGCATCTTCTTAGGATATTTCCCCACTGTGAAAGAGAAGTAATAGGCCCCAGGGATTATGCAGCGGAAGTGGCCGGTGTCTGGGTTGAAGTCACTTCCTGTGTTGACCAGGAGCCTGTTGAAGGTCACAGCCTTCTGGGTGCCTCCTAGGATGCTATTGGTCCGTGTGGCCGAGAAGGCGGAGTGGAGGCCCATCATCACAGGAGCCACATGGAGGGTTGTGACCGACCCCAGGAAGGTGAGGATGCCCAGTAAACAAGCCAGGCGCCAGGGATTGCTCCATGATGCCACTTCAACTAGGAGAGATAAACAACAATGAGTAAAAATACTTCATTTTCCTTCAAAAACAATTTACAACAGTTCTATTTATCAGCCAGTCTGGCTGTTCTAGTCTATTTTTGCTTCAGACAACGGTTTCATTGTAACAATGTAGCTTTTTTTTGTTGCTTGGAAACACCAAGGCACAGTTTTCTTCTTTGGCAGTCCACCTTTTCAAGTTTTTGAAAAGATAGATTTTTTGTGGATTGTAAAATGTTGTACCTTATACAGTCAAATCGGGCAAAATAGTTTCATTCCTGCATAGCATTTCACACTTTCACAATGTAAACTTTTTTTGGTGCATTTTTTAAATGTTAAAACAGGCAAGATTACCAGCTAAGATTGCACAATGTGTCATTGTGTGATGGGCCGGCTGAAATACTATATGAGTGGGTTAGGAAGTCTGGTTGAGCCCTGTCAGGACAGATCCTGCTCATCAAATCAGATGCCCCGTGGAAGCAACAGCTCTTCTAATTCAGCTGGTATTGTCTGTTCTCTTGGTGCACTGAGAAAACGGACTAGATTAGACCCTGGTTCATCTGTTCCTGTGTGTCCGGACAATGGAACATTTGGGATGGGGAACGAGGTGGGGCAGGGCATCAAGGGTAGTGTGGGTTAGGGACTATTTTTTTGTTGTTGTATAAAGCATTTTGACATGGTGGAAAATTGGTGGACGAAAGATCACAGTGTGACCATGGGAGGGATATGTTGTGGGTCAATTGGGGAAATGAGGTTGTTTTCAGGACAACAAGCATCAATACTTTATCATTATGTTATAGATTTATATATTGTTGAATTAGACTGTTATAATAGGCACTGTGGAAATGTTGAAGTAAGTTGTCATTTCAGGGCCTAAGCAGATGTTTCAGCAGCTTCCTATTGTTACTTGATGTTCTCTGTCTGTGTTATCTCTAACCTGTTGACAGAGCTCTGGTAGATGCATATTGCATGGTTGAATAGTTATGGCTTCACTCATGAATTAAGCCTCTTTTATGGAGCATTTGACGTCCTCTAAAACATGCCATTAGTAGTCATCAAATGGGTTTGAACTAACTGAGTATGAGAAAATAAACAGTATATCACTCAATATATGAACACTGAATTAATATATTTTAAAATGGGTTTCGCTTATGTAAAACATTTAATCACATTTTTTAATTAAAATGACTAAATCTCCAACAAATACCAGAGAGCCGAATCATATTCTGTACAGCTGCTCTTGCACTAAACGTATGGAAAACCTGCACCCAGTAAAGAAAATATACAGTACATTACCACCAGTAATTACAGTCTTATAACCTGAGATTTTAAACTTGGTTGTTTTCAAATGTCTACCATTGTTGCCTGTAATGTTAATTCATAAGTACTGTAATGATACACTACATGACCAAAAGTATGTAACCTGCTCGTCGAACATCTCATTCCAAAATCATGGGCATTAATATGGAGTTGGTCCCCCCTTTGCTGCAATAACAGCCTCCACTCTTCTGG